ATTGTAGTGGATTATACTGAAGACGGACTCACCATGTGGAAAAATCCTTAAGACATGGTCGGGGGTGGGGGGGATGAGATAAGTAGGAGAGGAGGACAGGGAAGGTGAGGGGGGAGGGAGGGTAAGGGGGGAAGGGAAAGAAGGGAAGATAATGAGGAGGAGAGAGGGAAGATAATGCGATTGGGAATAAGGAGGAGAGGGGGATTTAAGGGAATGCGGAGAAGTGGGGAACATGAGGGAATAGGGGAAGAGAGAGAGGAGGTTAAGAGGAGAACGACTAAGTGTTGAGTAGACGAAGGATGAAGAGAAGAAGGCAGAGTTCGAGTTGAAGAAGAGGTGGAGAAGCAGTATAAGTGGGAGGGGGGTAAGGTGGAGGAGGAGGAGGAGGAGTAGAAAGAAAAAAAGGAGGACAAAATAAGAATGTAAAAATAAGAGGAGAATGAAGTGAAAGAATAGCAAATTGAAGAGGAAAACGGTAAGATGTAGAAGCCAGAAATATAACATAACATAACATAGGGCGCCTGACAGCTGAGTGGACAGCACTTCGGATTCGTAGTCCTGAGGTTCCGGGTTCGATCCCCGGTGGAGGCGGAGACAAATGGGCAAAATGTTTCTTTCACCCTGATGCCCCCTTGTTACCTAGCAGTAAATAGGTACCTGGGAGTTACACAGCTGCTACGGGCTACTTCCTGGGAGATGTGTAACAAAAAGGAGGCCAGGTCGAGGACCGGGCCGCGGGGACGCTAAGCCTCGAAATCTTCTCAAGATAACCTCAAGATAGCTATGAATGCATCATACATGAACAATCTGCTCCTCTGATTCTCTCTTGAGTGCTGGTAATTTAATGGTGAAACATTGAGGTAAATACCTGGTGACAGGCGGGCAGTAACCGTAATGTTTACCACTTTATCCCCGGCTTTATCCTCAGTCTTGTCGTCCAAGACAGTGACGGCTCGTCAGCTCCTGTTCCAGACTTGTGGCACACTATATCATGACATCTGTTAAATCACTATAATTATCTTTATATATGTGTCAGATAATCTATTTATATTCACTTCTGTTAGTGTGTATATATATTTTTGACTGTCTAACGTTACATTGCCTAGCTGTAGATATTACGATTAAGCCATCCAAGAGGTGGCACGGGCATGAATAGCCCGTAAATAAGGTGTAGATGTGTCTCTCTCCATGTTATACCTTGCTCATCAACTCTCCCCTCCCACACTCTCTCTCCCTCTCCCTCTCCCTCTCCCACTAGTAGTGACCCATCGTGAGGGAGAAGTGAGGACAGGTTGACACGGGAGAGAACGTAGATGAGATGGATGTTTATTCTATAACAATTGGGAAGGGGCGCGCCCTCCCCACCTGTCTCTGGCCTCAGTGAGAGGTGTGGAGGAGAGGAATGACCTCCATGCCCCCAATGATTGCTGAACTACTGTGACTGGCTGCTGCTAGTGAACGAGTGTGCTGAACTAGCTTCCTAAGAATCAAGGAAATTGCACATGCTTTATATATTGGTCCATACGAGACAGCTCCTATTTATATATCCATCCAAACTCATTCATATATGAATGTCTAACCTAGAACATATGTCTGACCGACACATTTGATCTGTCTGTGAGTACTCGTCTCTGTGGGTGTAGCTGTAGCTGGTAGGTGACTCCCAAAGTCACGTAGAGAATTATGAGGAGAAAGCTCTAAGTCAGTATGACTAAATAGCACTTGGAAGTGACAGAGGGACATGGAGCTAGGATATGAGGACGGAGTGAGTGACCGGCGTCCAGTCACTTGCACCATCGGGGATGGAACGCCGACTCTTCAAGAAGCGAGACCGATGCTCTACCGATCCAAGACAGCGTTTGGTTACCTAGTGAGAAACAAATCTAAATGCCTCCGTCTTGGTGCCGAATATCATTCTAGATTCTTCAACACAGAAAAGTTGTGGGGTGGTATATAAAAACCAATTCGCAGACGGCACTCTGAGTTTGGCAACAAGTGCCACCCTCAGGCATAAGGTGCCACTGAGAGGTGCCACAGACGGCCACTAGACACACCTGCTCCTGCCATGAACACCAACTTCAGTTTTCTTTTCATTCAGAATTCACACATTTAAGTATCTCGCATTGACAAGAGTTTGATGGTGCAAACACAGTCTCAACACTTCCATTAACATATAATTAGCATCTTATAACATAAAAATTTCATTCAGTAAGCCCAAATCTCACATTACTGACCTATGTTCAGGAGTAAGGCACACCTGTTGTTATTCAGTCATATGTTTCGATGCACTTTATAACCCTCCAGAGGTTAAGTGACCTTAAACCCCCACACCAAATCAGTAAAAAAACTTACTACAATGCTTCAATGCTTCAATGAAGGTGAAGGAAAAACTCAATATGTGTATAAGTGAATTAAAAATCCACTTAAAACATAAATTGGATCTTTCCTTCACCTTCACCAAACCAATAATAATAATAATAATTATAATGATAAAATGCCA